GAGAGAGAGAGAGAGAGAGAGAGAGAGACATCTTATTGTAAGAAAAAAAAGGACTAGCTTTATTTGACTTGAAGTTGGAGGTTTCTGGCGACCCTACGAAACGATTACACGTAGGCCTATAACATACGAATTAGAGTCGGGCTTCGGCAATACCAAGTCAATCAGCTAGCAGTAAAGGCCGTCTCCTAACTGTGGTGGCCCTGACTCAGACAGAAAGAATATTTGCATTTGACCATGGCTAATCATAAAAGTGACCACTTGTTCCATCCCCAAAACCGATCCAACTCTTTAGATGTCGTTCCAGCAGTCTTTTATTGTGTCTCTCTCTCTTTCTTACAATTTCGTAAGCCACCAGACTGTCACCCATAAAAGTTGTTATACACGTCATTGAGAGGTCTTCGTCTTAACCCTTCACGCCCCCTTTTTGATACCGTTATAACGAAAAGTTTAACTAGTTGTTGTGTCAACCCACTGCAGTCGAATCTCTAAGTTTACATTGAGTGCTATATATATTATACAGAGGTATACCCGTGGGGTAGGCTTCACGCCAGTATTTGACTATGACTGTACATGTATTAACAAGCAGTTGGTGTGAATAACGCCCCCACCTTTTTTCACACCAGCTCCTACAAGAGATCAGCACCTGTGAGGTTTGGCTACATACTGTTATGTCCGATATTCCGTACTCTACCTGCCATGGTTGGAATAAACTTGGAACTTTTAGCACGATTGTACTAGTACAAAAAAGAATAGTAGAGCTGAATAAGTAACGGCCCAGTTACACGTAACGATAGTCTAATAAAGAAGAACTGGACTATCTATCGATCATACGTCAAATCGTTAGGCCTATGTGTAACCGATTTCTACAAACAATGGACAATTCTCGCATACGACGAATCTGATACAATTTATCGTTGCGTGTAACCGTGGCATAACACAATGCTTAAAGTTTTAAAACTTTCTCGGACATCTGGCACTTCATAACTATGATTTTTTCACACGTGCTTCAATCATTTGTGGGTGGTGCTGTTGGCCACCTTATTCAGCCCATTTTGCATCATTTCACAGATAATTAAGCTCATTTTCCGTACAGTGTGTCAATCTGATACGTTACAAGATGTAGCACGTAACAGGTACATACATGTATTAGCGACTTCTAACGGAGGGGAAAAGTTATTGATCCAACGTAGCATGCATACGCACCATCCTTAATACGCGCCTAGTTAAAGAAAATACATTTGTATCATACATGTAGTAACAATCTAACAAGAAAATAAACTGGCTTATTCGGAGTGTTCAACAGGGCCGGGCATGTCTGCCAAAGGAATCATGAGCAAACATTTATAATGAATTATTATTCCCGAATCCTTTATTGCAAGTGACACTTCACAGCAAAGAAGTGATGTATTATACAAGCTCAACCTGCACCAATAGATTTCTCCATAACGTACACACCTTCTTCTCGTGTCAGGTAAAGACACACACACACACACACACACACACACACACACACACACATACACACTCTCACAAACACACACACACTCTCACAAACACACACACACACACACACATTCCCACACATGCACACACACTCTCACAAACATACACACACAAACACACACACTCTCACATACACGCACAAACACACATGCACACACACACACACACACACACAAAAAAACACACACACACACACAACTGGGTTCAGAGAGAGCAAACAACATAGCATAATTACTTCAAAGAATGTATAGGAAAACATACATAATGTATGTAGTATGTAGTACTTTAAAATCATCGCCCGTCCACATCGTTCGATTTTTAAGGTCTAAGTGAAGTAGCCTATTGCATAGTCCCTTTCAATGTAGGCCAGAGTCACTTTATTTTCTCTCAGATTTTTTTCTTTTTTTTCTTTAAAAAACTAGAGTAACAACTGGGGTATACGTTCGCTGAAATTCTGAAAATAAACTGAGAGTAACAATAAAATGATAACGAGCCTGGTGTGCGTACACTCTCAACTTTTTTTAAATAGCTAAAGGTGAAAGTATTTACACGTTTTTGTTCATTTTCGGGACGGGAGGCTCAAGTCAAAAGAGTATTACATGTATACATTTTAAACAAGAAGACAAAAAAATGGAATCCTCTGAACTCCTCCGTGGGAAAATGTCTTTCTCAATTTCAGTCTGACCCAGATATATATATATATTATATATATATATATATATATATATATATATATATATATATATATATACATGTGTGTATATTTGTATATATCAGTCTAAAGGGAAGTACAAGTACAGAAATAGGCATGGATCTAAATTCAGTTCCCGCATTTGGTACTGTATGCAGCGTGGGGTAGTTAATGGCTGTGGTGCAGCAGTTTAGTGCTTTATTGTCTCATGCAGAAGACGTGAGTTTGATTCCCATTCTGGAATAATTTTTATGGAGTATTTCTCTACCTTTCAATTCTACTGAAACGTATCCCTCTCATCAACCTAGGCCAGCTTTGACAGTCATCATAGTTGAAGCAGCTCGCCTCCCAAATTATCTAAATTGTGTCTATGGCAGCATAAAACATTTATGATTTTAAGGTGTAATAGGTAATAGATGATACATTATAATTTAACGTTCATCTTCGATAGGACCGAACCGAGTGGGAGAAGAGCCCTGAGAACTCTCTACACAATCCAAGTAATCAAAAAGAATGCCTCTTGGGATTGGAAACAAAGTCATCCACACCGTTGATCTGCGGGATATCAAATGATGTAACGGCGAGCCCAGTTTAACCGATCAACAAAAGATAGAATAAAAACAAATTTATTGATATCATAGGGGAGTTATCCCTTAAAAAGCCATCTGAATCTTCATACAATACTGTTTTATAAACACAACCCCCCCTTCCCCCCAGGTAACACAGCTACTAACGAACAAAGAAACAGATAAACATCAAAGCATTACTGTATAAGAACATTTTATTTATGCATAACAATTTCTTGTTCCCTCATTCAGTAAAATCAATATATTACATATGTATATATATAACGACACGTCTATCCCCCAACCCCCCCCCCAAATAACTAAATATAGAGTAAATACCCCTACAGATTCTTCTTGCTGAGCCTGCTAACAGTTTGAAAAACAATAATATAAAGTCTAAAACACTGTGCAAGAAACTAATATCCACGTCGGTGGGGTAACATAAATTAAATATTAGTGCCATCTCTTAATTAAACTAAACAATGAAAAAGAGTTCAATGCCCAAGTGGAAAAGATATTTTTATCTGATACCGCACTCAAATCTTTGTGCTTGGAGATATCCCATACAGACATCAATGGCTTTGACTTCGGGCTGGGCAGGGTCAAAGCAGCCAGCTGCCTAAAAGATCAAAATGGCATGTACAGTGGAATAACAAATTAATAAAAACGTATTATACAAAATGCATTTTCATAATCTAAAATGAAGACAAAAAAAAAAAAAAGAACAAGGAAAAAAAGCTACGTTTTACTTTTGAGGAGAGCAGACTACTTATGAGACTCATACAACATGAACTATTTAAAACAGGCTAGCCCAAACCCATTGAGACGCTCAAGTTTGACTCAAAGAGAAAGAGCAGAGATGAACCAAAGTGAAATACAAAACATGCAAAACTCGGCACAGCACGGTGAGCATGTCGTGTGTGTTTGTTCTCCATTTTAATAATAACAATAATATATAACATTTATATAGCGCATTTCCAAAAAAGCAGCTCAATGCGCTTTACATTGGAATACCCATTTTTCAAAAACCTTTCTCACTACTTCCTTTCTTCTCATGAAATAAACATTAATGAACACACACACACACACACACACACACACACACACACACACACACACACACACACACACACACACACACACATGCACACAGACTTTTTTCATACAGACATAGGAACAGAACAACTATAATGAAAAATAACGTTAAAAGCTTATGAAGGATAGGCCTGTCGGAACAGAACATGTTTAAGATGTCTTTTGAAGCTATCAAGTGTTTTTATTTTGAGGGGCTGCACCTTCTGTTTCTGCACATACACACACACACACACACACACACACACACACATATATATATTTACACACACACACACACAAACGCACACACAAGTTGAAGTCGTCGGCGGAGTGAGAAAAATGAAAGATCGACTCTTCCGAAGTTCAACTTGACCGTTGGGAATTGTAAAGGAGAAGTGCTTTGAAGTGAGAAAGATATTAACTTAACCAAAGATCAACTCAAACATATTCAACACAAGCAGAGTCATACCTCATATGTGTCATGAGACGGTGAAATCAGCCATTCGTCAAGTTTGGGGGTAAATGAAGTTACAGATGTCATTTTAAAGCTTCTTCAGTTGTCTTGCTTTCGATGAAAAAAATACCAATTTTTCTTGAATAGTAGTCGTGATATTTGTGGGTAAAGGAAGTAGGGGTCATCTGGTGTCAGAGGTAAAAATTAAAAATATGGCTACAAAGTGATAAAGAGACGAAGTGAAGTGGAAGTGAAAATAAACTCTTTTTCTAAAAGTAAAAAAGTTAGGGGTTTTTTTCATTTCTTTTTTTTTTTTGGACCATTTTTGAGGCAGTGTGGTAAAATCAGGCGCTCGTCAAAATAATGAAATCCGAGAAATCTGCATTTTTCGGTCAGTTTGACCTTGTATGTCCATTTAAAAACATTTTTATGCGTGAATTTTACGGAAAAACGTTGATTAAAGGCACAAAATGTAAATTTTCAGTTTCCACAAACTCTCAAGCTAAGGAAATAACTCATCTTTGGAGGCCATTTTCTCACTTATTTTACCTCTGAAATAAAGTGACTCCAACCTCCTTCATATCATACACAAGCATCTTGACTTCTGTTCAAAACAAATGGACAAGCTTTAAGATGATGTCATTAACTCTAGATGCCCCAAAACTGACGAGAGATTGATTCTACCGCGTTGTGACACATTTTTATTTATCGATTTTTAATTTTTTATTTATCAACTGTATTTTATTTTTTTAAATGCAAAAATCGCTACTGCGCCAAAACACAGATGCTTGTCTTGCAAGTAATTACGGAAAACACAAATAGAATTTCATTGTCATGCACTCCTCAGCATTCCACAGGCCCATTTTGAGCTTGAAAAACTGACTTAATTGCAATTCACTTTTCGGATCAAGGGGAAGCTTTTGTTATATAGACCACTAAACACATCGAAGAGTTAGAAAACTAGCACAGGAAATAGAAACAGAGAAGCAAATTGGTTTCAAATTCATTTCAGTTCCAAAAGCCACCCATGTCAGATGAGAATGTTTGAGGTCGATAAAAAAAAACCCCCAAAACCCCTGGGACAAATCCGAGACTCGTTTATCCATGTCCTGGAAGTAAATTTGTGCTATAATGTAATACTGACACTGATTTTGCTGAAAACGTGGCTCTACTTTCTGAATAGACCAGCACCATCGTTGACATCTCAGCACTCATGAGTCTCAAAACTAAAGTTTTAAGGCACTTGCAACAAAAACGTGTTTAAAGCTCCAGGAGATTTTTCAGGTCTGCTGGCCGGGCCAGACATAACAAACCAGGAACTGTGGATGAAAGCTCAACAACAGCCAGCCCAAGATGAAATCCTTTGGAGGCAATGTGGACGGATTGGCTGTACTTTTTGCATGCCTGATTCCCGTACCACAAATTAAACTTAATTTGGAACCCAAAGAGGAAAAGGAAAAACATGTCAGTACAAAGGCAAGGAACAGGGGACTTTAATGGAGACTTCTGGAGAGACTGGAACAGAAACATGATGACTGGAGAGAGAAATCAATGGCCTATAAAACAGGCAATATGGACACAACTCTGGTATGTTGGGAAAGTAGTCCTGTGTTTGCTGCATTCACAAATCGATATAAAAGATATTTGATTACATAGAGCCAATGTTACAAATATTGAAAATTTCCATCTGCTAATTTATTAGCTAAATCATTTCTCTTGACATCACGTAATGCTTTCACCAATGTGCCTATAGAAGCTTCAGCTGAATCTTTTTTCCAAGCAACAAGAGACCTATGTATGACCTCCTTTATGTTACGCGGATGATCCTCATGAAGTTGATCCAACTGGGCATCTTTAATACCGATCCTCCGAAGGAAAGATTTATACTTTCCGTCTAGTCCATTCTCTAAGAAGTCAAACACATCGCTGAAATCTGAAAGAGAAAGAGGCAACAAAAATTAAACATTTAAAAGGCAACATGACCAGACAAATTATTCAAAACTGACAACAAGTTAAACAAGAAACTGGCGGTCCAATTTTGTATTCGCATATACTTCCACTACTAAATATAGGTGCCACAATTCATCAGTATGTAAACAGAACTAGACGTACATATTATGGCTACAAAGTTATTGGATGAAAGTTTGAGGTACAGGTAAATGATTAGATCTGTCGGGACTATCCTGTACACATAGTAGGCATATCTTTCAAAGTTGTGTTTTGGCTCCAGTCATGATTAGCGCCATAGTGGCCAAGGGGTAAGCTCTCACACTCGCAATCATAAAGTCATCGGTTTGAATCCCATCAGGAGCCCGATATTGTGTCCTTAGGAAAGGCACTTTACATGAGTTTCCCTCATTTCAACAGTGGTGGGAATGGATACCCGGCTAAAGACAGGGAAAGATCTTGACAGTTTGTTAGTGTGTGCAATCCGCAGCTTGCACTGTATGCTTCCCGGGAAGACGAAAATCTCTATGAGTGTTCAAGGGTCTGTTGGGGTAATAACAGCTGCAAAGTACATAGAGCATGCTATAGGGCGTGAACATGCGCTATAGATTAATACAGTTATTACTATTGAGATTTGATGCATTCCCAGCCCAGGATGGGAAACCACAAACCTCAGGATTCCCTTTTCAGAAGGTCAAATCTTTTAATAAAGTACACTGGAAGCCAAGTTCCCATGGGTAAAGGGAGTTCGACTTTCTGTGGTGACTTTGAATATAAGGAGAAGCTTACTGTATGAGGTAGTGTAAAGCAAGACAGGCAATGAGCAGGTCACTAAACCTAAAGATTTATTTTGATGATCTTCAAAAGGAAGGCAAACTTGATGTTTCAGTGACATGTATATTCTGGGTAAACAAAGATGTTGTTACATTCAGTCGGCAGAGCAGGCTGAGAATAATAATGAAACATATAGCAGAATAAATCAAACTTTTAATATTATTTTTTCTAGTATTTGATGGTATCATGGAAGCGTACTCAGCCCAGCAGTAAACCGAAATTGCAGGATAATAGAGGTTTAATAATGAATATTGACATAAATCTGAAAACAACCCTGGTCTGATCCATCATGTACATGCCAGAGGTGTTGAGAGACGACCAATTAATCCACCACTAACTACTGTCATAATTTTTGTCATACTATCTTGGAGAGGAAGATGTAAAGTAGAAGCAGGGATTACTAGAACAGCAAAATTGAAATTTACAGGCAACATTTTTTCATCCTGTTTTCCTGTTTCTAATGCCCTTGAACCTAGACGGTCATATAATCAGGCCACCTGCGCGCTACTGACCTAGATTCCTTGTGGGCTTACACACCCGTGTAGTAAGCCCACAACCTTGTAGAGCATTAGTAGTGATAAGCCTACGCAGGGTGCGGCGGTCAGTTTGAATTGTTGTTTTCTCATGCTTTGACACTGGATTATTTCTGCCTAATGCAGTTTGCTTTTCAAGTCATCTGGATTATGTGAATATTTTTTACATCATTGTGTGTGTTGAGGAACAGAAGTGGTGACTAATTAATTAATTAATTAAGATTGACCAGCAGTCTTGAGATCGCAAATTTGAAGTGCTGTTTGGCTGCACTGTAGCTGTAGGCCTACTGTTCATTTTCAGATTCTTCATCGCCATCGTACTCAGTGAATGCCTGGATTCTTTTAGTTGAGGCCTAATGCAGTTTTTTTTTCCAAATCATCTGGATTGTGTGAATATCAAATATCTCTTCCATCAGTGTACGTGTTTAGATTAAACCTACAGTGAAGTTTTGACCGTGCACGTTTAATTCATATCTGTCTAAATCCATTCTAAAATCCATGTCTACACAGTGGAGGCCCCCCCTTCTGATCCGCACTCTTCACTGACTTAGAGCCTCTCTATGCAAACAACCACTAAAAACGAACTCTCCATCCTATCCCTAGATCTGCTTTTAGATTTAGATTAGTTTGTAACACAAACAATAGACTAAAAGGACCATGTAGATATAAATCTATATATCTAGACTCTGAGCGTCTAGGGGCCCACCCTTGTTAGGTAGGGAAAAGTATACGGATCATAATTATGGGGGAGCTCCTTTGTGTTTTTCCCGACCTGCTTTGTTTAATATCTGCTGTTCTTTCACAGTGCTTACATGCTTCTCTTCTAGGCCTATTTATTGCTTTCACCATGTGTGGTTATGACTCTGTTGGACTGTGACTGACACCTTCAAAATAAACTGAAGGAATAAGAACAACAATGGGAAGAAAATGCTCAGTTGGTGGATGCAAAACTGGCTATGACAGTCAGAAAGGTGCAGAAAAAGTGACCTTGTATGGATTTCCTTCGGATGAAACAGAATGTCGGGCATGGACTGCTAGCTTACCAAACATTTTATCCTATGAAAAGGTGTCAAAACATATCAGTGTGTGCCCTCCATTTCCGTAAAACTAACTCAACTCAAGTCAACTTTCTGTCTTTCCATCGCTTTTGTCTGTCTAGAATAATTTTTTACATGTCCGTTAGTTTGAACACAAACACAGGGAAGCTAAACCACTGAGAGAGAGAGAGATATATATATATAGAGAGAGAGAGAGAGAGGGGAGAGAGAGAGAGGGGGGGAGAGATTGAGAGGGAGAGAGGGAGAGAGAGAGAGAGAGAGAGAGAGAGAGGGGGGGGAGAGAGAGGAGGGAGAGATTGAGAGGGAGAGAGAGAGAGAGAGAGAAAGAGAGAGAGGGGGGAGAGAGAGAGAGAGGGGGGGAGAGATTGAGAGGGAGAGAGAGAGAGAGAGAGAGAGAGGAGGGAGAGAGAGAGAGAGGAGGGAGAGAGAGAGAGAGAGAGAGAGAAAGAGAGAGAGAGAGAGGGAGAAAGAGACCGCCTAGCCGTGGCCGTTGTAATCATTATTATCATTACGAAGGTCACTGCTTGCTGTGGGCCGAAGCCTGAGCGGCCGGTGTGTCAGCCCACAAGCAAGGTGTGTAGTTCTTGGGCTGCGCTGCCTGATTTATGATCGCCTAGCCTTGAACTGAATGTATGCATAGTCTTAAAAATAACTAACCTTACTCCTTAATGAAGCAAATCACAATCAAAGGTGCAACTTTTTCAAAGTAGAACAAAGATATCTACATGAAGAGACAACAACAAATTACTGACTTTGGCCAATGCGAGATTATAACAGCCCATACATTACCTTTGAATAAGTAACTTCAATTATACTTTTAAAAATCGGGAAAATTATCTGACGAATCTCACATCCTAGATCCTATTGCACATCAGATGGCCGATGGAACAGATTGGAAAAGAAAGCCTGTCTAGTAGGAGGGCAAAACAGGGAGATTCTGGCAATTAATATGCCCTTATATCCGTTTAAGCTAAATACAGTGGAGTCAACTTAAACCCAAAAAGGTTAATCCAAAAACAGCAACAAAGTGAAAGAAAATAGAACCACTGTTTTTTTCTTCTTTTCTCTCTATTTGAGCAATCTCTCTAAGCCTAATGCACAGCTAAACTGAAGAAAATCTGGCTGTCGTCCTGTAGAATTTGTTTTATAACTCCACTGTATGTCAATACATGTACTGTTCATGCTCCTGCTCTTCGCAACATTTATTATTAAACGAAAGGAGATGTTGCTGTTCTGCTTTTGATTTACCCCAGGAACATGTCCTGACACATTTTTAAACATATTATACTTACACAATGATATCCAAATACATGTATTTAGAACAATGCACAAGAAATGAAAATAAAGAAAAGACACACAAGAGTTCAAAACTAGCTGTTATGGGATTGCCTCTCTACATTGCGTAATTAACATGTACTTTAGAAAGATGGAAAAAAGGAAGTGTACTTCCAGGCACTGTTTCAGGGTGCGAAAAGGTAAATGCATAAAAAAGTATCAAGTCTCTCAACAAGGCACTGTCATGGCAAATAGATTTCAGTTATTTTCCAGATGGCATAGTTTTGAAAGAAAAATCTCCTTTTTATACATGACGAATGCAGTATAATAGAGCAGAAAAATATGATTTACATACTAAAAATCAAACTTTGATCTAACACAAATTTTTAAAAGTCTGTGGTACCACAATGGATGGTTGTTTAACCCCAAGCCTTGAATTTCAAACTATCTAGCTGCTATCCGAGGGTTCTTTATCAATATAACAAACTCTAAAGCCCTGGCCCTGCACTGCTGTCGCTTTCAAAAAAGAAAAAAAAAAAAGAATTACAAATATAAAGAAATAAAACTTGGTGAAATTAAAGATATATCATCAGAGCTTTTTTGACACACCACAAAATCAGATTCAAAATAAGAAACACCTTTTCACAGAAGTGAAGATTAATGGTATATATAAGAAAAAAAAAATACTTGACAGATATTAAAAAAACCCAATAAAAATTCAAAATCTAGTAAGTAAATCAGAAAGAGTAACAACTGTAACAAAAATTACGAACACGATCCAGCTTCATTTCAGATCATATTGTCTGATACAAAAATAATTTCTCTCCTGATCTACTTCGAAATCCTTTATCAAATATGTAGTCGAGCTTAAGACACTCTGAGGGACTTGAAAAAAACCTAATTCTATCGGGATAAGAGCTCAGTAAATTAATGTATATTGAAAAGCACTCCAATAAATATTCAAGCTACCTGTTGACCTTCTCATAAGTGAATGTGTGCAACAAGTACTACTGAGGTTGCAAGTGAGAATGTTTTCTGACTTCCACAAGTACAGTGACAAGACCAAAATGAAAAGCATATAATATATATCTGGCTTTACAACAAAGAAAGAACTATTTGAGTAAAGAGATTATTCTTTTATCTACATTAAACAATAACTTTGCACCACTTATACTCTTTCAAAAAAAGGTTTACCATTTAAGCTATTTTGCTTCGAATAAAGCTGGACAGCACTGAAGATAACTCCGTCCGTCCTAATCTCCAAAAAGGTATTTTTCAATATGGGTCATTTGGTGGGCTTTAAAGACTTTTCTTCACCGACTACGCTATTTAAAGCAGACATTGAAAAAGGAAGTTCTCCTTCAATTTTAAAACTAAACCTTAACCAGAAAGGAGTGGCAAACCCATGTTATAATTAACAACCACGCAACCAGATAATGTGCCTTTCAATAAACATTAAAATTGTAAACAAAAATTGGACTGACCTTCTTCTTGTGTGTTTCTGTCGCCACAAGTCCTATACTTGTCCTCAAATTTCTGTAAATGATCAAGCACATCAGATCTACCTCCGCAACTGCTACTGAGTGCCATTTTCAGAAACTCAAGATTGTCTGGTGAAAGTTTATTTCTCTCTTCCAGAGCTTCAAACAAGTCCACGCATTGACTAATCTGATCTCGATCTCTTGCTCGGATAAAATCTTTGCAGAATGACTTCAGCCTGTTCAGCTCATCATCACGCAGCATTGAATCAAGTTTTGACAGCATGACTCTGTACTGCACAACCTTTGCCTCTGTGTCTGCCATTGTGAAAAGTATTGTCTGTCACAGTCCACTTATCTAGTTACTTTCTGAAAAATAAAGAGGTAAAATGGAAGGTAAATAATATGGAGGAGTCAATATTTAATACAATCGTTTCAGGTCTAATGCCCTTTTAGAACAGAACGTGTCATTAACTTGATATAAGGCAACCTCCACATTTTAACATTCAGGACAAAGCTAGTATTAGAAAGTTCTGAACAAAAAAAATACGGTGGAATCCAAGGACAGGTCAAAAGCCGAAAAGAGGGATTGTGATGAAATCAAGTGCTTATTACAGTTATGATATTAAAGGAATTAACATTTTTCTGCCTATTAAATTTGGCAATTATTAGACTTGTTCGTTTTGGGCTCAACGCCATTTATGTGTTCACTCTTAAACACACTCCTGTATGGATTATACTACATAAATGTTGATCAAAGGTACACAAATATCAATTCGCAGTTTCCAAGGATACTACAGCTTTGGAGGTCACCAAACTTTAGAGGCCATTTTTTCACACTGACATCAGTCGCCCCCAACCTCTTTTAATCGCAAATTTTATATCTCAACTTCTATATTTAAGATAGCCTAAAGACAAATAAACAGGCTTTAAAGATGTTACCAATAACTGCATGTGTGCCAAAAAATTGATGAGCACCTGATTCCACTGCGCTGTGACATAATAAATAAGGGTAGGTTTTTATTATAACTCCTTGTTATCAGGAATATCACTGGAGAAAGTTAAAAAACTTCAAACTGTCCAAAACAATGCAGCACGTTTAGTTTTACGGAAAAGAAAGCGAGACTCTGCTAAACCTCTTTTACAAACGTTGCATTGGCTTCCTGTTGAGAAAAGGATTGTGTACAAGTAGGCTACCATATGTCACAAATGTTTAAATGATAATGCACCATCATATTTATCAAATCTGTTAAGACTGAATATTCCAACTCGCAGTTTAAGGTCATCTGCTGACAAAAAGAAATTTATTTTACCATCTATGAAACTTAAAACAATGGGTGAAAGGGCATTTGAATACCAAGGCCCCAAGATCTGGAATGCTTTACCAAGTACGTTGAGAGAAATCAAATCTTTTGATTCATTCAAATGTCAGCAGAAGTCGTTTCTGTTTTTAAATTAATAAGATGAATATTTGGAATAATTTTCTTTAGTCAGAACACGTTTCATGTTACTGTTGTATGTTGTACTGTATTGTAAAGCGTTCAGAGCCTGTGTACATTATTTGGGGTTGAGCGCTATATAAATGTCATTTATTATTATTAAGGGTAGTGTCAATAGACAGAGCAGTTGTTTCCACAGGAAAGCACATTTTCCGCTTCTATACAAACTTGTGTATTTGAAATTATTGTAATTGGTGCTGTTAATTTTATGTCGTCTAATCTGTATGAACACTGAAATGAGGGTTTCTCGTGACCGGCACTCTGTATGAAAATAGAACTGCAATTAAGCATCAGTTTATTGTAGTAGTAGTAGTAGTATCTTTTTTTGTATCAATGTTTGTGCATTGAAGCAGAACATTTACCACATTTTTCAGCCTCTAATTCAGGTAGCAGGCTTAACATAGCTACACTTTTGTCTGAAGCGAAAGAGGTAGAATGCTTAACTCAATTTTTGTGGACACTATGCTTCAAAATGGAGGATAGGGGTTGTGCAAAGCATAAATGACTTTGTATGTGAGTAGAAAATGTTGATGTGTTTTGTGAAAGAGTACCAGTGGCTAAGTGAGTAGTGAGTTTTGACTCAAGCAATGTCAAGCAAGTGTCGGTGACACGGAGATCAGATGGGTGGTCACTGGAGTGTGTCCTTGAGCAAGACACAACAACCCTAGCTCAAATTATAGGGCGCTGCACAGTGGCGACCAACAGTGGCATTGTTTGTAAACTGTTCTGTATTTGTGTAATAGTGTGTATTTATGTATGCATTTATGCATGTATGTATTTATGTATGTACGTATTTATGATTATGTATTTATGTATGTATGTTTGCCATTGTAAAACAAAGTGCCCTTCTGGGACAAATAAAAGTGTAATTTTTTTTTTATTTTATCATGTTAGCGTGATGTTTTGAAGCATTGACTAGCAAATTCCAAATCAATTTAACTATATATATGGATTTGGATTTTGTCATACAGAGCTAATGTGGCAGGGTAAATGAAATGACCTCTCCTTTGTGCAAGCTGCCGGGGAGAAAAAGGAAATGCTCAAGATGCATTATATTACCAGTTAGGCTACCGTGTAATATAATCATACAAAATCTTAGAACATAGGCACCATAACATCTCAATTGGTGAGTTGAAATGCTGTCCAAAGTAGAGCGCTTCGTTTGTTATAACAGTCTGTATCAACGTCTGTTGCTCCTCCTTTTGTCGTCTTTGATGTGTGTGTGTGTGTGTGTGTGGGAGGGGGGGGGGGTGGTGGCTGTAGCGATGTGGTCGCTTTTAAGAAAAAGGGGGCTATTCTATAAATGATAAAATGCTTTTTTGAGAAAAAGAAAGGACAGTTTTTGCCCCTGGTTCAGTTTCTTTAAAAGAAAACGAGAGTTTAATTTTCTCTATAAAATCAAACAAATATACACAAATGAAACCAAACGTCTCCCATAGAGGGCAATGCCCATTTTTGGTGTAGGTCAAGATTTCTGAAAACCCCTGAAATCTGGGTTAGCCCGCTTGTCTTTCAAAGCGACTATGTAGAGTAGAGAAAAGCAATGAATGGACCAGAGGCAATCTCAAACACACAGTAAGTATGTCATTGTGCTTCAAGTTCATGGCTTTTTGAAAGAGAGAAAGCACTAACATCTCTGTAGTATAAACAGGCTAAAATTACCTTAAAGTGTATGTAGCAGCTCACTTTATCATAGGCCTACAAGCTGAGCAAAGACTCATTAGACTGCGTCACTTACAGAGTCACTGTTTGCAAAGAAAACTTCATCTCACTATGATCGACCAATCGGCCAGGGTTATAAAAATGTATATCACTTGTATAGTGTGTATTTCTGACAGTGCGTATTGACATGGGTAAGCTGGTGTGTAAGAGCAGGCGGGCGAGGAGAAAACAAACGGGCCGGGAGTGGGGTTGGTACCAAAAAAATATAAATTGTGCAAGAAATTTATTTGCACTGCTTTAGAGCTGGCCAGATGTTCACCGATCAAACTTATGTAGTTTGCTGTCTAGTCATTTGATATCGCAATTATGCTTAAAGTGTCATAGTTAGTCTAGCACGTTGTCACTGGTCGACATCATATTAATAACAGAATTACCAGACAAATATTGACAGTGTGCTATGAGAGTAAATTTCTTTGTCCAACTTAAGAAGTGAACTTATTGTGGTGACACACAGTCTTGCTTTAGAATTTCTTTTTATAACTTGATGTCACGATTTTATATTTATAAATATATCAATATCTGAAAGATTCAAACTGTCCTTGTCTCTTCTTAGTGGTGTGAAACAACAACTCTCTCTCTCTCTGTGTCCCCCTCCTCTCTATCACTCTTCCTGTCCAATTGAATGTGTGACTCCTCCCCTCCCCCTTCTCGCTGTCTCCCTTGGTCTAAACACCCCCCCTCTCTCTCTGTCTCACTGCCTGCAGGCAGAATTACTGCACGCTTTCAATCAAGAGCACTGGAACATTTGTATACACTCATACCACTGGCCGTCACACACTAGCTCAAAGTAGCGCCCAAGTCTCGCACGGATGCGAGACAGGGCAATTGAAACATCTTGGTAGTGGAGAATCTTTGATTCTAGTACATCCTATGATTTATAGTTATGCCCTTGAATCTGAAAATTTCATATCATGACTTTTTACTCTCAAGCCTTCTCTGCAATAATCTATCTGTTCTAGATAGACATATCATATATTAATAGAAAGGGAATTAGAAGACCTTTCAGACCTAGCCAATAGATTTCATATTTCTCAAGCTTTCTTAATGTGTGACATATTTTTTGTGTTACCGAAAATAGATGCAAAATCAGAAATCAGACTGCCCCAACAATCACAAAGAAGAAAAAAAAAACGCTTTAAAGTTTCGAGTTTACATTAATTTGATGAGAAAGTATATTCAATTCTGCATGTAATGTATAAAAGGAGGCACCTCATTTTGTAGAAAAATAAAGAAACGAGGGCCGTTCTTGTGCATTCTACAAATTCTCAGTTATTGCCCTTGAAACTGGAAATTTCAGAGCGAGAATTTTTTAATACAACCATTAATTTTAATCTATTTATTTATATCTTTTAGTCTATTTAGTCATTTTTATTTGATAAAAATTATGCCTTACAAAATCTTACTTTATAAAAGTAAATATATTTTATGAGCGAAATACCACATCACCAGCCATCGCATATATTAATACGATATAGTACTGCATGAACTGCTAGGGGTTTAATTTTTTTAAAAACAAACTTTGTGTCAGCAATAGCAAAATCACTCACTCTGTGTAAAAAAAACAATGGAAGCCATGCGCTTTTTAACGACTTGTTTTTATTGACCAATCTGGCAGTAAAGTTTACTGTAAACAGCTGCAGCCATGCCATATATATAATAGACTCTCTGGCCAAGCTTCTCTGCTTTCTCTCTCTCTTTCTCTTCTCTCCATCTCTCTCGTGCTGTATAGAGGCATCCTACAGGCTACGCAAATCAGGGATCACTTTCAATGCTGACGATACGATCACAAAGCCTGTACTCTAATTCTCCCCCATTTACGCGTTCAATTGTCAAATGTCAAAACCAGAGCATCCCTTCAATTAAATTTAGCATTACTTTTTAGTAGTTCCGCGGCCTTCCTGATGCCGTAAAATCTCCTAGATACCGTACTGAAAAATTTTCTAGGTCTCTAGGTCTAGACAGATTTGAAATAGTTTTGTTCTTTTTACATTACATTTACAAATCAGTTTTCTGTATTTCCCAGACACATCATAAAACCTGAAGATAGACAGAAAGAAAGAATGGCAAATTTTTACTCATGCACTAACACACAGATGCACTGATTTGAGGGCTAAACTGACACAATTTTTTGCTGCAGAACACACGTATGGCCACTAAAACGCTGGCAAATCAATTGTTTTGTACGTATATCAATCCTAATACACGGAGTCCATAATTCCGTCTCAGCGATCTTTTAGTTTGTCCGGGCCCCCCGCAGTAGGTCATAAATATCACCGGCAGGTGACCTGCAATTTCACGCGTCAAGTCGGGGATTGACCGGGGTCAACTCGTGCACAGCGCTGTCCTATCTTGTCCTTATCAGAACGCGTTTCTTCCCCTAATTTCAGAGCCGTAAAATGATGCTCACTCTACCCCTAGAATCTACTTCCTCATCAACTTCGCTTCGTCTACGTCTTCTTGGTATCTTGTAAAAGTTTAAACAGTTTTCATTGATTCGTTTGGGAATAATAACAGTTTTAAATTGTGAGTGTTAAGTGATCAGAAGCGCCGTTAATAATGTGATCTCTTCAAATTTAATTACAAATCATTCGAAAATGAAACATTGGTGTTTATTTCTGTTTGCGCGGTATGATAGCCATCAAATCATATTTTCTAATGATGTGAATTTTGTTTTTCCAGAACTTTGCAGTGATTGAACTATCAGTTAGTGAATTGTCTTCCTAAGTAAAAATTGTTAAACTGCAATGGGTCACACATATGAGAGGCATAGAGTCTCTGAATGAGCTTTGTCGGGAGTGTTGGCGTTTAAATCTAACTGTCAAACAAAAAAAGGCTATCTCCATTCGGCACTGTGGTTTATAATTCGCTGTGATTACCAGACATGCCAGAATCACGTGAAATAAGTAAACAAACTCAGTGTAGCCTAGTGAGTGTAGGAGAATAAGGGAGCACGGGGGGTATATAAACAGACGGCGAAGGTTAAACTGGCCTTCCGAGCCATGACTAAAACCTAGTTTGAGCAGGGTTCGACGCTACTGGTGGGTCGACACAGTGAATGGAGCTGCGGACCTGTACGACCCACACTCATCGTTCCCCGCTCGAAACAGTGAGTATTGAAACCAACGTAAATAGACTAATGAGTAGAATCTAGGATTAGATAGCAGTTATCCTCTCATTACAAGCTATTTCGGCATTTATTTGACGTGTGGCGTGGGGGCCAGGCGGGATATCATGATCGTTAAGACCTTAGGCTAAGCTAGACCTAGAATCTAGGCCTGGATTTAGATCTAGTTGTTATAGTCCAGATCTAGGGGTTTTGCAGTGATGGCTAGCAGGTCAAAAATGGCGATGGGCCCGAGTATCAGGTATGATGTGCTTAAACCGTTTACTGGGGAGGGGGACGTCGAGGCTTGGTTGCAGAAGGCGGAATTGGTGGCTAAACTGACTCACATTGAAGACGTGGCCAGTTTTATCCCATTGTACCTGGAGGGGGGAGCTCAAGCTGTGTATCTTGAGATGAGCGAAGAAGAGAAGGGGAGAGTAAAGCTCATCAAGAAGAACTTGAAGGAAGCGTTTTGCGACAACCAATTCGTTGGTTTCGCAAAACTACGTGAGACGAGGTGGACCGAGGAAGCGGTGGACGTATACACGTTAATGAATTGCGGAGGGTAGGCAGGACTTGTGGGTTCTCAGGAGAGGGGCTGGAGCAGCTGGTGAAATTGGCTTTTGTCACTGGCTTTCCAGACAGCATAGCCTTGGAACTGCAACAGGTGGTAGGGGTGGAGTTGATGAGAGTTGCAGACATTATTGGTAGAGCTAGGGTCCTGGGGGCAGTAGTGGGTGAGGGGCTTACAGCTGCAGCGGTAGATCAGGCAAGGGGATACAAAAAATCTGGGGGGCGGGGGATGACGCAGTACAACACCAGTCAGGTAAAGTGTTTCATTTGTGAGGGGGGTCATTTTGCTAGAGAGTGCCCAGAGAATTTAAGCAAGAAAAAGTCACTTGTGTGCTACAGGTGAGGTGGGGAAGGGCATATAGCGGCGTACTGCGAGCACACTGGTAAAGGTAGTCATGGGGGAGGAAGCTCGAGTCCTGGGGTTGACGCAGTGTGCGTTACAGGAGTAAGAGGGGTCCCAATGATCACAGTCACCATGTAAGGTCACAGTTGACACGCATTGATAGACACGGGGTCTTCGAACACCATGATCAGGGCTGGGTTGGTCGACAGATGGACCGGAGATGCGGTGCAGGTATCAGCATTTGATGGAAGAGCCGTTGAATGCAAGGGGAGGGCGCAGATTGAAATGGAGGTAGATGGCGAAAAAGTCAGTACGAGGGCAACTGTGGTTGATCACATAGTCGGGGGCATAGATGTGCTGATTGGCATGGATATAATCGTACAGCTAGGAGGGGTGATGGTGGGGCAACACAAGATCCAGTTTGGAAAACGGATGGCGTGTTTGGTTTTAGGGGTGCCAGCAGGGGAACAAACATGTCCAAGGGTAGAACTATCAATCATGATAAGGATTTCAATGCAAAGTTTGTTGTTGAGTCGAGACAGATGAAAGAGAGGTCGCGAGAGTCTTCTGGTAGCAAGAAGTTTGTTGAGTCGAGACAGATGAAAGAGAGGTCGCGAGAGTCTTCTGGTAGCAAGAAGTTTGTTGAGTCGAGGCAGCAGATGGAGGAAGTCGGTGTGTCTGGTGGGGGGCGGCTGCCGGTGGGGACGCTGTCAAACCCTCGAGGAGACGACAGGAAGTGGATGAGGAGGGGGGAGGGGGCAAGTCGGGAACGGAGGTGAGTGGGGTCGCGGATTATCCGGAAGCCCTTCATGGATGACCCAAATCTGAATTGACCGATATATTCCTCGAACGAGTTGGCGGTTCTTGGGAGGAAGAAGAGGGAGGAGGAGAGGCTGAGACAGAAGTACGCGGAGATGAAGCCAGGCGTAGCACAAGACAGTTCTGAGAACTCCAAGGGAGGAGAGAGCAAGAGGGCCTCTAAGGACGGGAGAGGAGGGGAGGAGGAGGAGTCAAACTGGAAGACAAAGAGAACGGACAGAAAAAAGAAGAGCAGGAAGAGCAGAGATAAAGACAAGAAAAGGAGGAGTAGAGATAGCAGTGACATTGACGATGGTGAGGAGAAGAAGAAGGAGAATGGCGAAAATGATAAGAAAAAGTTAAAAATAGAAACGACCAAGTCTCGAGGGATGCCCGATGACGACAGAGGAGACGAGAAAGGAAGGAAAGGTTCGAATGACACCGGTGGAAAAGAGGTTGAAAAAGGTAGAAAAAGTCAGTGGTTGGACGAAGTCGATCTGGAGAAAGAGGAGAGAAGGGTGCAGCAGAGGCTGAGTGAGGAGGAAGCGAGACAGAGGGAGGTTGCGGCGGCCTCTCAAGGCCAGCAGGAAGCTGTCTGGCATGAGCAAGGGGCGACGGACGGACTAGAAATGGCGACAGACGGAGAATCAATCGAAACGTTGGCGGTTGCCGCCCAAGAAGTGCACAAGGCGAGCTGCTGGGATTCTACGTCGAGGGCTAGTGGCCAGGATTCCGTAGATGTACGCGATCTCAGGGGATATAAATCAGAGGAGAAAGGAGAGAGTGAAGAGGGCCGAGAGGTTGACAGGCGTTTCCCGAAACGGGCAAGGAGGGCCCCGTTGTGGCAGGACGATTATGTCCTGGGATAACCGTAATGCGGAGGCGGGCATGGGGGGTGGGGGGGGGGGTGGGGAGGGAAGGATAAAGAGAGATTGGTTTGGGACGGGACGTCAGGACTCTCTTGAATATCCTCCCCTTGTTTTGTGTTTAGTATTATCATGGCGGGTTAAACTGGGGTGATTTGTGTATTCTCTTTAGGTGGGGTGTTGGTTTTTATCGTATTGATCAATGAGATCAAGGGGGCGTGTGGTTTATAATTCGCTGTGATTACCAGAAAAGCCAGAATCACGTGAAATAAGTAAACAAACTCAGTGTAGCCTAGTGAGTGTAGGAGAATAAGGGAGCACGGGGGGTATATAAACAGATGGCGAAGGTTAAACTGGCCTTCCGAGCCACGACTAAAACCTAGTTTGAGCAGGGATCAACGCTACTGGTGGGTCGAAACAGTGGATGGAGCTCCGGACCTGTACGACCCACACTCATCGTTCCCCGCTCGAAACAGTGAGTATTGAAACCAACGTAAATAGACTAACGAGTAGAATCTAGGATTAGATTAGAGATAGATCTAGATCTAGCAGTTATTATCCTCTCATTGACATTACAGGCACGCGGCACACGAATCAAAAAGTATCGTTTAGACTTGAATCAGAAGTAATCGTCATGGCCACCTCTATTCTCACCCGGAGTGAGAATAGTGCAGGCGAGTCTTGTGGCTATTCTCACCCGCTGCGCGTTCACCCTAAACCACAGAATTCTACACTGTGATAACAGAAAAATTGTAGAATTCTGTGCCGTGAACAAACGTTCCATTACAACTGTAGCCTACTAAAAGCGTACAATTTTGTCTGTGGGCAGTGGAGAGAGAGAGAGAAAGTGAAAGAGAGAGGAGTAGCGCGAGAATTTCCGGGCAAAACAAAATGGCGACCCGCGTAGTTCGGCTCGATTCGAAAAGTTAAATAGCCGCAGCATCTTTGTAGACAACCAAATTAATTTACTTTTGTGTTTTAACATCATTTTTAAACTTTGTTTTGGTCAATTTGATCGTCCACACCGATAGACAGTATTCAGAAAGAAACAGAGAGAGAGAGAAGAGGGGAGGAGTTGATCTTGCGAGAACTTCCGGCGGGTGAGAATAGCCACTTTCAATCGTCATTGGGGACAAAACTAGATTCTTGATTTTCTGTGGGTTGTATTTCCCTGTCACAAAAGTCGGGGCCACTAGATCTAGATATATCTAGATCTAAATCTAAATCTAGATCTATCCATATCCAGGTAGTGCCCCATACTTAATTCTGCTCTGTCTCATTCATAGCCTAGATCTAGATATAGATCTAGAATCTAGATCTAGATTATAGATCTAATACCCTTAAAGAGACCATCATGTAATTAACAAAAATCGCCTGCCTTCTTCTTTTAGGATTCTCTCAGCTTCGGTACTTGTTTCCAACAAGGATATCATTGCTCTGCCATCTTTGATTTGAACTCCTGAACTCATGTCAAACTGTTTTGTTTTCAAGTTTTGCCTAGCCTAATAATAGACTGTGGCATTTCCAACATCGTCGTATATTTTGTGTTTGTCCTTTTCCCCTCCACTTTACAAATTTATAGCCTCATTATGATCTAATGTCGATCTTGTCTCTTGATCTTCTTTTTTTTGAATAGTACTTGTTGTATTCATCATATAAGATTTTAAAGTTAAATCAATTATTTAATTGGTTGCTTTTGAAGCTATAGGCTAGAACTGACGCAAATTCCGTGCGTCCTGCGACCACTGACAACGAACGTTTTAAGTTACGAAATAAATGTGATAGGCCCAGATTAATGCACTAATTTCGTATTGTAGCGGGGTTTTTTTTTTAATGAATTGTGGACATACAAAAGGGATAAAAAGGTAAAAACATGTAATTGGTGGTCATATTTGAAGAGTAGAAAAGAAAAATTTAGAAGCAAAAAGGTAACTTTATCGTTTGAAAGGTCATAATAGTTTATAACATATATCTCAATAGCTGCTTTTTGTGAATAAGATTTATGGTACCAGAAAAAAATCAGGGTCAATTCATAAGAAGGGGGTGTGTTTCTTGCCAAACCCATCACCCAAGAGCCAACGGCACACACGACACACGGCACCCTTGACACTTGTAGCTTACTACGAGTATTGTCACTGCAAACTGAAGTCAGTTGAATAGATTTGACTTGCCTTTTTTCCTATGAAAATGTTGTGTAAAGTTATTTTGCTTTTGGTAGTTGCTGCAAGTGTGCAGGCTTCCAATAAATACTCAAAGGAAGCAAACGAGGATGATGATACGTTTACGGCTGGTATGGAATATGATCCAAGTCCTTTTAGAATGCAGAAAGTCAACTTGCTGTGGAACAAGGCAAAGAAGGTAAACCATTATCTGGGAACCGCCCCTTTCACGCAAAACCATATGGCTGATAACTAAAATTATTCATGTAGTTTTATTATGACTAGCACCAAAAGTCTCTCTCATTATTATGTGTTTACTCGTTGTTTATATTATTATTAGGCAATTTAATTTTCTTGAAAACCAGTTAGACTTATTAATGAATGTGAATTGTGAAACGGCTGAGAAAGTGAAAGAAACTTGCAGAACACTGATTTGCAATAAAGTTTTGTCATAGTTGTCGATCTTGAACTACAAGACAATATTTGTGTTTTGTTTTTTGGTATTCCACTGCTCATGATCGAATAGTCACATAATATATTGGAACCACTTTATTTTTACTTGTTTGTTTTGAAAGGGGCATTTTTTCTTCTCACAAACACACCCCTTTATGCGTTTTTCTCTTATTATTTTCCTCTGACTCCTCCTTTTTTGCTTTCCCCCTCCTCTTCTTCCTCCTTCTCCTCCTCTGCCTCCTCCTTCTTAGCCTTCCCCCCACTCTCCTCAATCCCTCCTTCATCTCTTCTTCATTTTTAATGATTTTACTCCTCCTCTTTCATCCCTCCTCCAACTCCTCCTCTGCCTTCCCCCATCTCCTCCTCCTCATCCTACTTCTCCTCCTCTTCCTCCTCCTCCTTTTGCTCTTTCATCTTTGCCTTACTCCTCCCCGTCTTCTTATCCCCGATCCACATTGCAACTTTCTCAATTTTTCTCTCAAGACGGAGTGGGCGGTTTGAGAGAACCACCAATTGGTCCTACACTTCTGTTCTGTCCTTTTTAAAAAAGTAGGCTATCTCTCTTTTTTGTTTTCTTTTTGCTGGGCATTAAATTGGCCATTGTTGTATTAAAATAAATGCGCTTCTTTATAATATACTTTATCAGTCATGGGCTATGCCACTTGACTTTTTCTTTCACTCATACACCAATAATCAGCTGTCCTGTATTAAAACACTTTACTAAAAAAAACCTGTCCTGTATGAAGATCAAGTACTTTAATTACATTTGCTTTCAGTTTTCTGTTTATTTGTTTCATCAAATGAGACTACATTCTCACTGCCAATCTGTCTCATAGGAGTGTTATAGTATTTTTCACTTTGATCAATGCTCGGTTGTCACTCACAGTTGGAAAATTATTTTTTAGTTTTTTTGAAGTGTTTTACTGCGCTGGCAACTGCACAAGGTCAAATGAGAGTGTTGGGCACAAAACATTTTCAGTTTGTAGAAAATGTTGAATTTTGCTCTAGTGGCGGCTGAAGCCTATTCTTGGACCACCAAGGGATCTTGATTGAATGCGCAACTTGCACACGAGACTTCCAAGATTTTTTGCCTTTTTATTAAATCCGAGAAGGCTAGGTGTAGATTTTATCTATCATGAGATCAGGGGTGTGGCTGAAAGACAACAGAAAGAAGGAGCCAAGGAGTAACAATAGAAAGGCTTCAGGAAGAATCAGGAGCCCAGAGGAGGGAGCAAAGGAGGTGAGAGGGTGGAGGCAGAAAGTGGAGACGAAAGCAGACAACAGAATATTGTTAGAGAACAGGAAAGGATGTGGAAGGAGAAAATTTTAGAGAAGAAAATTTTCCACCGGGATCCGGATTTGAACCCACTTTTAAATGAGAGGCGAACACCTTATCCTCTAGACCACGAGAGCCCTCCAGTTGGAAATTAATGTATTCATTGCCAAGAGGACTGTATTTGCAGAGTGCTTTCGTGATGGTACTTTAATTACAGCCTAGAGAGTTGACAAATTTATGTCTTGTCTTGATACATAGACATTCATCCCATTATAAAGAGGGGTAACAATCTGCAGTTTGATTTTTAAAACAACATTTTTTTCCATTCCTCAGAGGGTTTCTGGACAAGACCTTGCAGACCTTTATGCTGACCTAAAGGTCCATGATAAATATGAAGCGAATCTAAAGAAAGTTCGGTCTGAAAATAAAGATGAAGATGGAACAATAGAAGAGAAAGTTCTTACAAACTACAAACGTAAGTCGGTGTGCTTTACACACATTGTGTCTTCGATTCTTCTTTGAATTCTATTATCAAGATTTAATTGTTTAGAGTTAGAGGTATTCACGGACTCTATCTCGTCAAAGCACATGTATTGTATGATGACTAAATGAGTGAGCTCTAAAAGTCTTTACATTTAAACTATTTAGCTTAGCTCCTGAAAGGTAACAATAATTGTAGAATTATAGCAGGAATAATTAACATGAAAAGAGACATTTTATGGAATCACCCATATTTCTGTGGTCCCATCTAAAATATGGATACCTTAAATAGTGTGTGACTTGAGACCTTATAGTGGGCTTTCCGTAATTGAAAGTAATTGTGGTTGCTAGAGGTCCATGTTAATAGTCAACTATATGATTGATAATATTTGTTGTGTGTACTATATAATTTCTCACCAAGGCTTGAAACATGCATTGTGCTGAGCGACAGATGTGTTCTTTAGCTTAGTTTCTTTTTAAAAAAATAAAAAGTTGCCTTGAGCTTTTCATTAAGCAATTAACCTGCTACATTTTTCTTTCAGACTTGATAATACTCACTTTGCTGTTGAAAAATCGTATAGTTTCATATGTGGCTGAGAAATGCATATATATGGCCTTGCAGCTGTGAAGTTCGTTGCCAGAATCCAAACACATTTCGATTTAAGAGCTCAAGCGGAGGTATTGATGACGCAATTGTCAAATTTTCTGTAGACTATTCTCTCCCTACTTTGTGGTAAATTTATTAAGTTTTCATCATCATGATTTAGCAAAAATTAGACAAGCATTAAATATAGGGATAGCAAGTGGATGTTCAGTATATAAGTAAACTTTGTTTCTGTTGCAGGCATTATGACACGCTATTTACCAGACAGTCTGCCAGCTGAGAGCAGGGAGACAAATGAAATCCCTTTGTATGACGACTTTTATGAACCGGAAAAAGAAGTTTTTTTCCAGGATTCCAAGCTGCAGAACATGTGGGTGAGGGCTCAGCAAGCAGGTTTCTCAGGTTTGTTCACTTTCTTTCTGAGTGATCCTTTCATTGTCAAAGGATTACTTAAATATTGAAGACCAAGCATACCGAGAGAGATTAACGAAAATTAAAAGAGACAATGGGCATAGGGTAAATTATCTTCAGTAAAAGTTTTAATGAATCTCAAAGGCTTATGTAAATGGGGAATCGACCATATCTTCCTCCTCTATAAGACAATATTGAAAATAAATGTTCTCCTTGTCTTTCATGTTAGCATCAGTGGTATGTTGATAAGTGCAGTCTAGTAGGATGATGTGACGTTGGGAAATATGCAATACTTTATAATATTGTACTTGAGTATTTGGACTACAGTAGGGACAAAAACTATTTAAATGATAATATGATGTGGTGAGCTGCTTACCTGCTGCCACACTGTAGGTTACCTAGGTGGGAGTAGAATGGTAAATTGGAAAAAACAGGCCAGTTGAAGATGAAAATATTGTGAGGTTGTGGTAGCTTAGGTGCCAATCAGTACATATTTGATATTCTTTTGAGGACCTGAGTTGGGAAATCTGTTTCTGTATTGAAAAATATATTTTTAAAAGTATGTATTCTCTGTTTTCTAGTACTGCTCCATGCGGACTTGCCGATGTTGAAGAAAATGTATGAACTGTAAAGACAGGATTGGCAAATAATAATGAGAAAAGAGCCTGTAATTCACTTGGAGAAATCTTTTGCTTCAAGGTCCACTTCAAGCTACAGTTTCTGGATGGTTGTTAACTCAGATTTGAATACAGTATTTTCTACTTATAATGTAGCCCAAGCTGACTACTTTAAGGAATAGCTGTTTGGGGGCCCTTCACTTAATGAAAATACATTTTTCATAAGGGTACAGTGTTCACAGTTCCTGTTCTTACTACTTTGGGCCTTGGACAATTTAAAAAAAATGTAAAGTAATGATCTCCTAACTATTGCATTGTATCATATAGAATAGCTGACTGTAACAATAAAAATAACTTTTTTCCCCCATGTTTTGGTCGTTTTTTTTTTCATTTCTGCATTTGTACTTGCTTTTGTGTTTTTACAGAGGAAGATCTGAATACTTTGAAGGTAGAATTTGAGCACCAACAAATGAAGATTCATGAATTTGAATTCGTCCATCGGGAACTTTATAACAATGCTGGTATGTAATAAGGATTTCAAATAGTGTAATAATGAAGATAAGATCGACATAACTCATTTCCTCTTATGAATTTCATGGATGGTCAGGTTAGGAGCAATAAACTCATTTTATTTCTTAGAGCTGATTTTGGGCACTGTCTTTTCTGCACACTTATAACACCATTTTGAACAAAAATTGTATTACACTTTCTAAACATTAAAACAAAATGTCTGCAAATTCACTCTGAATTTATATTCATTTTTCTTCAATGTCTGTACGAATGGTATTGTTCAGAGTTATCAAGTTAATTAATTTTAATACCTTTCTGACATATCTTATAAATGCAGACATCTTTGAATGCTCTTTAATGTATAACTAGATACTGATTATTCAGGGTTTTTCATACATATGGTTTGGTACAGATTATTTAAGCATTTTTCAAGTTAATGTTTGGTTATATATTTCTTAACTATTTTCAATGTTAATGAGATATACATTTGTGTGTATTGATTATTTATTGATTCTCTTCTGATCAATTGCCTATCACAGGGACCTCTTTAATTATTATTTATTGGTATAAGTTGTTTGTATTTTTTCTAAAAAAACATTTTGTTTTTAGGTACAGAGGACAATACTGTTGACGTTAGTCAAATGAAACTCAACCTGTCCCCTGACGAGGTGAACATGAAAGTTGAGGAACTAAAGAATACCAAGACCAACGTCAAGGAAGGTTTCATGAAATTGGAAAAGTTGGCTTCTTCTCTGCCTAGTTCAGAGCCAGCTTTTCAGGACTCTAGAGTTCAGGCTCTTTGGTCCATGGCCAAGAAAACAAACTGGACTTCTGAAGAGTTGAGCAGCTTCCAGGTAGCATTTTGGCTAAAAATTCTCAAGTACACCCTTACCCAAACCTCCAACTTCTCTGCATACTCTACGTCAGAATCGGAACAGGAATATTTTAATGTTAAATTTGACATAATTTCAGAATGTTTTGCTTCCACTTTGTGGTATAACTTGAATGACTTTGAGTTCAGTAATTTTTGCTGGTCAATGCATTCAACTGGAATTAATCAGCTTCTGCGGGATGTATACTTTTTCAGTATGTTACTGTTTCTTCAAAGTGCTGAGTCCCTTTTCTATGATTGGGTAATCTGAGAGAAGTATCAGTGAAGTTATTTACCGATGGCTACAATGCCCTGTGAATTATAATCATAGTTACAGCAATTGAAACTCTAAAAGATGAACTGAAGTTCCTTGTACTATGATTTTCTGTCATTCACAGCTACTTTTAATTTCTATTGTTGCAAAAAGGTTGAAGTTAAAAAACATTCTTTGAATTTTTTAAATGCTCTTTACGATTTTTAAATGGACTGTTATTTGGATGTGGGACAATGCGGAGTGAAGAACAGCGGAAGCCATTCTAGAATATTGTTTCTCCAAATTGTCAATCAAGTACATTTTATTCCCCCCCCCTCTCCCCCCCGAGAACCACAAAAGCGAACCTTAACATGAATAGTTTTTAAACTTTGTATATCTTTAAATTTTCAGGAGGAGTTGCACCATTTTGAAACTCGAGTTAGCAAACACAGGTATTATGTGAATGAGCTGAAGTATGCAAAGGAAGCAGTGGAAGCTGGGGAAGGAGAGGAGTCGATTGAGAAACACGAGTTCTTGACGGAGAAAGCAAGCGTGATGAAGAAGACGGTAATTCATTTAAACATATTAAATAAAGTACTTTTTTAAAGTATTATAGAAGAACAATTTTACTGTACAGTTTTTGCAAAGCTTGAAATTTTCTTTTTGTGAAGTCAGTGAAAAATATTACAGTAAAAAAGAAAGGTCGATTTGTTTGTTTTTAATTTAAATGTTATCCACAAGTATACAAGCCATTCCATGAAAAGTGACACCTGCAATCAGGGATAATCATGACATGTTGAAAAAAAAATCTGTTTTTTATTTAGCTAAAGGAAGGTTGCATCTATTTTTTTTTAAAGGAGTTAAGAATAGTTTATCATTTCTTACAATTTTTTCAGTAGGTCATCTTCTCCTCATTGTGTGTGTCACTTTTCACGGAATGTCCCACATATAAGAGAAATAGGATGATTTCCATGTTACAAACTACATAGTGATCACTGAGAAAAAGAAAGCTATAGTCAGCTTCAACATTGTTTACCAGTAAAAGAAATATGTGTGTCCTTAAGCAGAAACATTTGTGTTTTGTTCTAGAATATATTTCACCTGATGGCAGTTTTTAGCTTTTCAATACTGTCCAAAGTTTGCGTCTAAGATAACAAGTAGAATTACTTAAGTATGAGAGTTTTTAATTTGCCGTTGATGCTATGGAAATAATGGTACATTACATTTGTTTAGTAACACAGACTTCGATCCCAAAAAATGAGTTCTTATTTTGTACTTTTTTCTGTATTGTTTATTCTATGCATAGACTTCATGATTTTAAAACATTCTCAGTCTGCCTTACTTGACTGAGTTCAACATGGGCCTTAAAGCTTATAGTTCTTCCTGTTGTTGAAAAGCTTTTGATTGCTGGGTCACTGGACTTCGCTGAGAAGCTTATTTGATGTTGCAAAATTCCTTTTATGCTTTGTGCTCTTAGCATTTTGACTGACTGAATAGAAATCACTTTTGTCATAAGAAGGCTACTTCCTCTCTTTAACAAGCTTACAGAAAAAAAATCTCTTTTATTTCTGTGTCTTTCTTATCTATACCAAGTTACTCTCATTTGAATAACTAGAAATGACTTTGCATTTTTGTACTTCATCAGTAAGTGTGCTTTGTAACTTTATCTGTCTTTGCTTTTGCTGTAAGCCTTCCAAACTTAGTTACCTTGCCTGAGAACAAGAAATGGCACTGCTTTTTGTCCATATCTATCTGACCTACTTTTGATTAGTAACACTTTGCTGGCTTAAACAGTTCTCATTCTTCATGGAATGTCTTGATCTTTGAGAGGGAGGGTGGGGGGGGGGAGGGGAGGGGGGAAGGGGAGAAGGGGGGGAGTGAGTGTGTTCGGTCTCAAGATAGTCCTGGTGAGGTTTGCTTATTTTCATTTGTCTTTCATTTTTCCCCTCCCCCCCTCCCTTGGCCTTTTTGCTTTTGATTTGATAAGAAAGTGATATTCTTTCTTTTCTTTCAGATTGGGAAGATTCACAGCGGTTTGAAGGAGAGAGTGGAAGAAGCTCTTGAGCATATTGAGCTTTAAAACACCCCTTGTTGCTACCACAGTACAGAAGTGATATGAAAGACTTATTTTCTTTTACTATATCCTGCCTTGCAAAACCAATAGCCTTTACTTGTAAATTTCATTTACCTCATAATTGTATTGCTAATGCCACTAAGATATTACAAACGTTCCGCACTGTCATTTAGTGTCCAATTTTTGGCGTGAGTTTTATTACACATTCACATCTAGCACAGGTAGCGTGATTATTTACTTATTGTCCTGTGTTTTGTAGAGACACATTTTTTCCACTCTGATAAAAATCTCAAAGGGCTACATTTCCCATCATGACTGAGCAGCTTGCACACTCTGTGGTACATTGCAGACATTTGACCTCTGGAAAGTGGAATTTCACAGCTTCTCGTGCCTTTATGTAGTACGTAAATTGGCCAGAAACGGAAATGTGTAGCCAAGATGTCTGTTTCAGATATTATTATAGAAAATGTGCTAAAAATTGTTTTGTTTCTTTTTCTCTTCCCCTAATTTAGGATCCATATATCGGTCCAAAAGCAAATGCAGATATTTTCTTTTAGTCAAGCAGATATAATGTTTAGAATAATTCACTTATTAATCGATTGAAAAAAATCAGCTAAGATAGTGAATTTGAAATTTTGTAAAGTATGCCTCTTTCCTATTTTTGAGGAATTCAGGAAATATCACATATTAATTCCCCGATTTGCGCCATGCCAAAATAGCTTGTTTCCTTCATTGTCCACTTTAAGTCAAATTTAAAACTTTGAGCTTTTGATTTCTTTTTTTATCTTTATTTTTTCCTCAGGTGCCATTCTTAGCAAATGACTCCATGCCGTTAGTAAAATAAGATGAGTTTTTATTCGGGGGGGGGGGTATGTAATTTGGTTTTCTGGGGTTTTTTCATTGAAGACTGGCTTATAATCCACAATCATTTGCCTAGTTTTCTGACTAAGCTGAAGAATTTTTTTGGGGATGTAGATAGTGATGTGTTGTGAGCGCCGTAAAACCTTACTAAAACAATGATGTTTTGTTATGGTGAACCTGTCTCAAGTTCACTTGAAATGCTTTAAGTATTTTTGTCTATTCTTTCTCGCCCAAGATTAGAACTGATGTTTTAGATTTTTATCTGTGAAACTACCCATGTATCTCCCCATGTCTAGTCAGTATTTATTATCAACTTTTTTTACATCTTACTTACCTCCTGTTTTACAGAATTGTCATTAACATAATGATGTTTGTCATAAACATAATGATGTTGGGTTTTTTTAAATGTTCATCGAAGAATTTGGAAAATATGAGCAGTGGTTGTGTCTGTGTTGCAATGAATATGTTAATATCAACTTGAAAATGTACATGTTGTTCCATGAGGCACATTGTGAAGGTTGGAAATTGGGCTGCCGTTCATTTTTACGGACAAATATGTGTCTGACGTAGTGCCAGTGATAGCAAGGCAGCTTTTAGGTTTTTACCTGAAGGCAAAAGTCAGTATGCAATTTGATCGATAGTAAGAACAGGTTTGAACAGCTCCATAGGGAATTTGTATATTACTATATCACTAGACTACTGATATTACTGGAGTTCTACACTACTAGGCACAATGTAGGTCACTTCATTAGTGGAGTTCTAAATTCTCCCATCAGGATATTAGAATACAAAAAACATTTCTGGAAAGTCAAGAAAAATAATTTAGGATTTACTCAGAGATGTAGAGATCGAAATTCCGTCTTGTGGAACGAGTTAACATTAATTGCCTACCTGTCTGCAGTGACCAGCATGGAATGTGCAAGTATCTTTTGAGTTGTTAAGTGCCATGCTGAAAATAAATCACTTGGGGCTTTCCAATAAAGTTTTTGTAATAGTTTTGCCTTTGAGATATACATAGTGAACCTTGTATTTGTACTACCAGTTTCGTCTTGTGTTGTATTTTTATACTGCTTTTAATTCTTATAACATGAAAGTAATAGCTATTGTGATTGTGAGCCCCCATTTTGTGGTTATTTTTTTAGTTTATGGAACACCAAAAGAAATTATGATGTATTTATTGTGGAAGTAATACTTTTTCTTCCCTGACAACTTACTTTATGAGCATTATCAAATTCTGTGGTTTATGTACCTATACACAATGTGATTTTATTGTAAATTAATTCAGCAAACTCTATTTCTGTGTATCTAAACAGAATTCCAAGTTTTCTAAAAATTCATCTCTGCCTCAATGCAAAATTTCATTGTATGATAAACAAATATTTTCCCCTGTAATAAAATCTCAATTCTTCCCTCACTCCTATAATATTTTACATTCCATGGATCTGTCTTTTACTTTATGAACTTGGTGTGTTTGAAATTTTAACCTCAAAAGTTCATACGATTCTAGCATTTTGCTTGACTCATTTTCAGTTGTAGGAAACCAGTTCTTTTGTAAACAGCTGATGCTTTATGTCCAGGCTCCACTTTGAGATTCTCAATTACTCAAGCATCATAAAGATGTAAATATTTTTGTCTCATTCCCTGTAATAATTTTCAAAGTTGTCTTTGACACATTTGAATCCAAGAGTTTTTCGTCAGAATGTTTGTGACCGCCAGTAACATTTTGTTGAAATGGATTTTTTTGGTATTGTTATATTACCACTCATGAAAAAACAGCCTAAAAAAGTTATTTGTCTACTTGTCGTTGAAAGTGACCTATATCAGCTGATATCAAATTTTGCGTGATGTCAACAATTTTTTAATTATTAAATAACACTTTAGTGCCTAGGTTTTTGGGGTTATTTTAATGAAACAGTTCGCACAAAAGTAAACTGACACTAAAGTAGGACAAGTTTTTCTCTTGATTTTTTATGCCATAATCTCAGTTGAATTATCTGCAGTTTTTCCTGTGTAACTTTAACTTTAATGTTTACAAGTACAAGGTATTCTTTTAGCATAGTATTTACCTTAAAAATGAATGTTATTGTTATCACTTTGCTCTGTATTCAGAAATGGAAATAAAAAGATTTATGCCTGTAATTATATTGTACGCTGTTTTGACAGCTTTGAGTTGTTTGGAATCATATGAATAAACTTGGCGTCGAAATAAAAATAGATTGGAATGATATTGATGGTCTCTTTGTTTTCCTGTTTTGTTTTTTTGCATGTGCAATGCTTTACAGCAACTCTGATTTTGTACAAGCTCCTTCCCTTCCTCTTTATCTCTTTCTCTGTCTCTCTTTCTTTGTCTGCCTCTCTTTCTGACTGTCTGTCTCTGTCTCTCTCTCTCTCTGTCTCTCTCTCTCTCTCTCTCTCTCTCTCTCTCTCTCTCTCTCTCTCTCTCTGTCTCTCTCTGTCTCTCTCTCTCTCTCTCTCTCTCTCTTTCTCTCTCTCTCTCTCTCTCTCTCTCTCTCTCTCTCTCTCTCTCTCTTTGTTTGTCTGTCTCTCTGTCTTTCTCTCTTTTTCTCTCTCCCTATCTCTATCTCTCTCTATCTCTCTCTCCCTCTCTCCTTCTCTCTCTCTCTCTCTGTCTCTCTGTCTCTCTCTCTCTCTCTCTCTCTCTCTCTCTCTCTCTCTCTCTCGTATTTTCTAGTTTTGTTTTGTGTTTAAACTAAATTTGTTGTTATCCTTTTGTTTTGATTTAGTTTTGTACTGACAGAAGCTTAAACAGTTTCAGAATTTCAGTAATTTCAAACTGATCCAAGATCTCAAAAAGCCCATCAAGGGTTGTTAAATATTCGCTGTTCCACTTCCACCAACGCCAACAGGGCTCACCATGCCCTACTGGCTGATTTGCACAAATACATGGCAAGCTCTCTCACATAAGGTGTGGTATGACATGGGTTTAACGTACTTTCAGGACTGTATCATGGATATTTAAGCCGGAACCACCTGATTCAACGTCCATCTCCGATAGAACAGAGCGCTATAGGCTAGTAGTTGTGAGTCGGCAAAACTCCTTTGGTCACCCAAATTCATGAATGCTCTGCAGCAATTTAATCAAACAAGGAGCATAAAATTTTATCAGCTGAACGTATGGTGTAGCTCTTCTATCGGAAGAGTTGCATCGTTTCTCAATACATGTATTGTTATGCTTTACGTCTTTTCTCCGGCACTCTTTCGAGTGTATTTAATGAACAAGGGCCCGTCTTGTAAACGTTAAGCTGGCAAGACCAAATATTGAAGGACACGTCTTCGATAATATGTATGTTTGTGTTTTGAGGGGAGAAAAATGTTCACAACCTCCTTGTGAACATTTCAATAGCTGGTGAGTTCAGGCTATCGAACAATGACAAGTTCTCTCGGCAACAGGGAAACAGGTGGTTACTACTACCAGATAAAACACATCCACCCTTAATAAGGCGGACAACCAACAATAAATTGCCTGCTTATTTTGCCCTTTATTTTTTTTTATTCTGTAAAAACTGGTACATGTATTGATGTTATCCATGCATCTACACACAAGAATGCATTGTAACCAAGCTTCCTTTAACGATCAATAAAAGTGATTTTCCTCCTCCCTCCTCCCAGTTTCCGAGAAAAAAAAAAAGCGAAATTAATAACGATATGGTCCATATGAGAGCGGACTTCCCACATCAACTATCGCTGTTGTTAATGTTTCAATATTTGGCAATGTCGTCAGTGCAAACAAGACAAACTGAACAGCTAAATGCTTCAAAGAGTACGCTGAACCTCGAATTCAGAACCAGCCACAATAACTGCCGAGATGATTAAATTATTAACCTCAGAAACGTGTTGTTTAAGCGTGTACGGGAAAGTGAAAAGCAACTGCTAAATCAATTCTTAACAGATTTTATTATCAAAATTCAGGAATAAAAAAATATGGCAATAAAAACATGAACACGAAACAAACGTTACAAGTTCTCAAAGTTTCAAAACATTTATACATAAACTACGCTGGGTAATGATAAGATAAGGATATCACACGATAATATCTGGAGAAGATGATGTCAACATAATGGTAACACTTCAAGAATGCTCATTATGAGCACACTCTTACACGCACGCGCGCGCACACAGACACACACACACACACACACACACACACACACACACACACACACGCACACACACACACACATACATACTTACATACATACATACAACATACATACATACATACATACATACATACATACATACATACATAGATACATACATACATACATACATACATACATACATACATACATACATACATACATACGTACATACATTCATATATATTGCCCACAATCAATTCAGAGAAGTACATTCCAGCAAACTTACAACATACGAAATATACACAATATGCATACTTACCCCTACCATTATCTTCGTTTCAGTTTCACTACCTGATTCATCCGAAAACTCTTTTTCTCAAATTCCGTTTTGTTATCTTACTTGCAATTTATTTAAACATTGACTCTGTTTGCCTTTCATACCAGTCACCCACCCCAAAAAAAAAAGGTGGAAGTGTGTGGGAAACGGCAGAGGGGGGAGGGCACAGTCCCAGGCTATTTCAACTATGCCAAAAATCATAATTTACCTTTTATGTTCGTATTCGAAAAGAACTGAGTTATATCATATAATAATTATAAAAGTGTATGAAGATAACAACAAAGATAAAAGTGGGCAAGCAAACAAGTACAAGAAACTGATACATATTTTAAGTTACATCTATACCATGTTTTTCAACATGTGGCGGTAGCGTCATCATAAAAATAAAACTTGCGCTCGGAACTGGAACGAAAGGGGCATTATAAGAGTGTGGTAACACTGTAGTGTATTCTGACTTGTCATAAGAAAGGCTTATGGATGGTATGGGTGTTATAAGTGGGCTGGAAGAACGCTCGGCAAATATTCCAAAGCAAAACTTTGTTATGGGGAAGAGCAAGATTACATAGTCAATACATAAATATTCTTTTATACACATTTTAGAAACAGTTTACGCCACCTGCTGGTGATGTGAGATTATTCTTAGGATATCCTTAAAGTGGCATTTTAGGTCAAATCAATAACATTCGACTGAGTTTGATGGGTGTGATGGTGGGCTGCTGGAAATGTTTAAAGAGGATTGAACATGATGCTGACTTTAAAAACAACAGCTGATTATGTTTTTAGTATATTTCGGTTGCTAATTAAAATTTCCTGAACACCTGTCTTTGGCAAAGAAGGGAAAATTCCTTTAAAGCATTTCAGTGGAGATGTGGAGGGATATTTTTTAAATTTAAAAAAAAAAAATTTTTTTTTGGGGGGGGGGCAGGGAGGTGGTTAAAAGAGTGGGACAGGGGTGGTTCATAACCATGAGGAAACTTTCTGCAGGGTACTTTACTTATTCTGTGAGCGATAAAGAGCAGCCAAAAAGTGCGTAATGAATCGTATCCAAAAACAAGTTGGAAACATGATTGAATTAAATTATTACAAGCAAACAAAAATAACAAAATAACAAAAACAAAAAAAACAAAAAAACATGAACTTGTATAAGCAGTGGGGGATTTCCTAAAGAGATCTAAGAAATAATTTCACATAAATCTAATTCCTGAAGAGAGTTTTGTCTTGTCTTATGCTGGTGTAAGAGGGAACAAGTTTAATGGCAGTAACCCTTCCTAGAATTATGAGCGGAGTCTCATTATTTTGTTTCTGGTCGAGCGGAGATTGCTCCAAGAGAAGTCTCTTGCCCACATTGTAGGAATCCTACTCAGAGGATAGATAGGTAGATCTAGGCCTAATCTATGAATGAGATTTCAAGATGTAAGGGAGGACAAGCATAGCTTTGAAAAACATTTTGGCTTAACCTGGTTATCTTGAAAGATAAAGCCATTAGCCTGATGGAAGTTTATATTGTTTTGGTCAGAAAAACATGGGTAACAAACAACATTCTAAAGATCTTGGGGACTATTCAGCAGCACCATAATATACCGGTACACAGAACGATATTGCATGCGAGGCAGAATGGTGCTCCCCTTGGCGAACAGTTGTTTTTCCTACCCTCCCTCGTGATGTTGTGATGAAAGCGTTTAAAAAAGCGTGCTGGCTCATGCAGACGATATGGCAGCTCAACCAGAAAATCCGTTATTGGTCATGCCCTGCAAAGAAAATCATACACGAGATCAAAACAGTCATCTTTAGCAAAGCAAAGCATAATTCTTCCATCACTTTTACAAGTTACAGGTAACTTTATGTTTAATATCCCATTTCATGATTTGGACAGATTGTGGAGACCAACTGCCCGGTGATACAAAAAACCCAGTCAGTTTGCCTTGGAAAAAAACATTTTCGGGGCTTTCAAGTTGTTTGTCATTTGAATCAATTGGTCATTTCCGTTTCGAATGTGAAGTATTACAAATGTGGGAGAAACTGGTCGGTGTGCTAACTTTGCACACAAAACACTGTCATTAAATATCATTAATATTTTTTGCAAATCATTTTTATTGAAAATATTGGAATAAGTGGCCAATGTATTTTCAAATTCTCCCCCCCCCTCTCTCTCTCTCTTTCTCTCTCACTCTCTGTCTCTCTCTCTGTCCCCCCCCCCCTCTCTCTCTCTCTCTCTCTCTCTCTCTCTCTCTCTCTCTCTCAAGGTGTAATCCTGCTGCAGATCACCTTGAATCGACATAGACCAAGAAGACAGGCCTATAAACCTACCATCTGGATATCTGTCCCTTTGCTATGGCAACTACGTCTCCAACAGAAAAGTAGAGCGATGCCCATACACAACACCAATGTAGCCAAGATGGCGACAATCACGATAAGGGCAATTTCACTGTCGCTGTAGGAGTCGTCGTCGCCATTGCCATTGCCGGAGCCTGTTGAGGAAACTTCAGTTTTAGTAATGAGTCATGTAGCACTTACAATACAATAAAGTCACACAAGTGCTGGTGATTAGAGATGTAATACAATAAAGTCACACAAGTGCTGGTGATTAGAGATGTAATACAATAAAGTCACACAAGTGCTGGTGATTAGAGATGTTACAAGGGGGTAAAAAACATAGAAATGACGAGAGAAAAGGACAATAGATGTTTGATAGGAAAGAAGGAACCAACCACACCAGAGCACCCGCAAACAACCCAACTCGAGAAAACAAGGATAAAAATACCACGGCCTATTTAGACGAAAGTAAATGGTACCCCCACCCCCCCACCGCACCCCAATGGATTGAAGCAATTGGGTTTACCAACTGTTATTTCTTGTTATAGGCTATTAAAAGCTGGTTATCACCACAGCATTCATTATTCAAGATTTTAATAAAACAAAACACATATTGATAATTATCAATGTGTACCCTGTATCTTTAATTGTCGTTGTTGTGTTGTGTGTGCGAGTGTGTGTATGTGTGTGTGTGTGTGTGTGTGTGTGTGTGTGTGTGTGTATGTGTGTGTTTGTGTGTGTGTGTGTGTGTGTGTGTGTGTGTGTGTGTGTGCGTGTATCAGTATGCATGTGCGTCAAAAATGGGGGGAGGGGGAGGGTATGAGTTTAACATGGTTATCAAGAATTCATTACTTATACTCTTATTGGGAATTTGAAGGTATCTGTAACTTTAGTTTTGCTACGTGCAACATTTATGTTACTTTGTATAAGCCTACAACAAACAATACTGGAGCATAGCAATAAGTTTTACCTTGACCTTGGGCACCAGGGCTGCCGCCAGCGTCACCCTGTGGGGAAAACAGAGAAAAAAAAGGTTACCACTGAATATTGGTCACTGTTCTAATTCCAGGTCCTCAATGTAGATCTACTTTCTGATAACCTCTGACACAGAGAATAAGAGCAGAATGTGTCTCTTGATTCTCAAACTTAAATTCAGGAGGTTGCTAAAAAAAAACAAATACAAAAAAACCAACAAAAACAAATTAACAAAAAAAGTTATTGGTCTCGATAGCCCAACATGAACAAAATTGAAAACCTGTATCTTATATTGTTGTGGGTGTATTTTTATGTTTGTCCAGGTTTGTTTTCGTTTTGTTTTTGTTCTTTGTATTTTTTTTTTGCTGCTTAAAAAAATTCCAAAATAAATAAAAGCTTTCAAAGCAATACGAATTATTAGAATCTTTGGCGGACTTGTCGCCGTCATCCGTATTTCTATGACAATCTCCTTCTATTTTCTTGTCAGTTTTTCTCTTTGCTTATGGTTTCTCCCTTTTCATTATCTCTGATCTTCATCTTTCATTAATCTCTGTCGTGGTTGCATTCCATAATGTATAGGTCTCACCCCAGATGCCCCCTCCTCTCTCTCTCTCTCTCTCT